GATTATTGCGCAGGAGTGCTACCACTATCTGAACAGGCATAGAAATGGGAGGCACAACTTTATGGCCCTAAAGCTGGACATGATGAAAGCGTATGATAGAGTTGAATGGAGATGTCTTGAAGCTCTAATGATAAAGATGGGGTTTGCTAGATCCTTTGTGCAGTGGGTGATGTTTTGTGTATCAACAGCTACATTCTCTTTCATGCTAAATGGGGAAGCAGTTGCCTTTGTGCATCCTTCTCGAGGTTTGAGGCAAGGAGACCCCATTTCTCCTTATCTCTTCCTCATAGTCACTGAAGCTTTATCTAGCCTTATTTGTGCTGCAGCTCCTAATGGGGAGTTCAGAGGTCTCAGGCTTGCTAGAAGAGGTCCAGTTCTAACACACCCCCTATTTGCTGATGATTTGTTGGTATTTTGCAAAGCTGAAGTGGAACAAGCAGAGTTGCTGAGGGATATTTTGTACGATTATGAGCTTTTTTCGGGCCAAAAAGTGAATCTCTCCAAGTCCACTGTCTTTTTCAGCAATAACGCACAGCCTCTGCAGAGAATAAACATTTGTACTGTGCTGGATGGTTTAACTGCCCACAATTCCTCTAGATATCTGGGCCTCCCATTTGGCATTGGTAAGTCTAAAAAGGAGACATTTGAATTTGTTATAGATTCTGTTAGGAGAAGATTAATCAGTTGGAAGAATAAGTTCCTATCTACTGTTGGTAAAGAAGTCCTGATAAAAGCAGTCATAAACTCCCTTCCTGTGTTTGTTATGTCCTGCTTCAAGATGACTGATGGCATTTGCAAGGAATTAGCTAGTCTTACAGCTAAGTTCTGGTGGAGTAAAGGGGGAACTCAAGACAAGGGGATTCACTGGAAGAACTGGAACTTACTTACATTGCCAAAGGAGTCTGGTGGGTTGGGGTTCAAAGACTATAAGCTCTTCAATGAAGCTTTATTGCTAAAGCAACTGTGGAGAATCAACAACCAACTTGAACTTCTTGTATCCAAAATTCTGAAAAGTAAGTACTTCCCTAACAGTTCAATATTTCAAGCTGAGAGAAAAGATTATACTTCTTGGATGTGGTCTAACTGGCTGAAAATGCTCCCCATCTTTAAAACTTTTTTGTTGGAAGGAGATCAGATCAGGGAGAAATACTAAAATTATGGATGGTGGGTGGATTCCAGAGGGGGGGTGGTATGGAACCTATGTTGCAGCCTTCTATTTTTGAGCAGCCCACTTGGGTCTGGGAGCTGTTGGACAGTTCTGGTAGAAAATGGAATGAAGAATTGGTGAAGTCGATGTTCTCTGACCAAGAGAGTAATGCAATTCTCAATATCAAAACCATGGATGCAGACAAAGATGACAGATGGGTCTGGGGCTTGAACAGAAAAGGGGAGTTTAAAGTGGCAGACTCCTATTCTCACTTTATAGCAGAGAAGGTGAAAATCCTAGATATTGCTGAGGGAAGTAACTCAAGGGGAAAGGACAAGATGGTGAGGGAGAGAAGCTGGAAATTGAAGGTGAAAGGTAGAATAAAGCACTTCATATGGAAGTGCTGTAATGGAATTCTACCTGTTGGGATGAATCTTCTGATTAAAGGGGTAGTAGTTGATATTGTTTGCCCAGTGTGTGGTGAAAATGAGGAAACTATTGAACATTTATTGCTACATTGTCAAAAAGCCAGAAATGTTTGGAAGATGGCTCCAGTCACTTGGGAAGGAATTGACCTGCAGGGCTTAACCTTCAAATCTTGGTGGTGGAAGGTATGTGCTATTATGAATAATGAAACAGCAGAGGCCAGGATACAACTGTCAACATACATTTTATGGTGGCTATGGAGGTCTCGCAACCTTTGGGTGTTTAGCAAGGAAAGAATGCCAGAGCAAATCATCATGAAGAGAGCAATGAGGGACTGGAAGAGTTCAGGGACTTAAGATAGCTGCAGTCTGAAGATTGTTTGGTTCCCATCTCCTGCTTCCTTTCTTTTGGTTTGTCTTTTTAGCTTTGTCTTGTCTCTGCTGTTGGTTTGATTTCTTTGTTGTTTTTAGAGTAGGCTTAGGTCAGGGAGTTCTTGTCTTTGTTCTTCTTGTGGGATGTGTTGTGTTGTTGGTAGTAGTTTGGTTGGAGTATTCAAGGTTCAGGTGCATGTACCTGCTTGATACCCCGGGTGGGTTTGTTTAGGCCACTATTTTTAGTGTGTCTCTCAGTTTATTTTCTACCCGTTGGTAGGCTCGTCGATTCTGTACTGAACCTTGTTATTGTTTATATGAGTATTCCTATTGTTTTGAAAAAAAAAAAGAATTAGGAGATCTAGTTTAGTTAGACTTAGATTTAATTTATGCACCTATAAATACCCATGTACTTCTTCATTGTTAGAAGTCTGGGAATTGATGAGTGAATAGAAAAGGGGAACATTGTGTTCTATCGCGTGTTTAAACAAGGCCGTAGTGCGTGTTTATCATACAATCACGAGTGAGAGAAGGCCCTTAGAGCGTCTTGAAGTCACAGTGTCTAAGAGAAGGCCTTGAGTGTGCCTCTTAGTCACAACTATCGTGTGTAGAAGGCCCTAAGTGCGCAATTACTCACACCAAATAGACAGAAACCGCGATCGTTCATCATTGGTGCTTTCATTGAGAGTGTCCGATCAAAGTTTATATCAATCTATCTTTTCTTTTTTTTCAGTTGCCTTTTGTTGAGGGGCTGAATTTCTCTTCTTTTTTTTGGTTCGAATTTTTGCTTCTTTCTCTCTTATTTTTTTCGAAAATTTGAGAAGTATAAAAAAAAGTGTTATCCTTGTCGTTTGACTTTATTTTCTTAGAGTCCTAAAAAAAAGAGAGAGAGTCATGTCTTTCTTACCGTTGGATGAGTTGGATCTGAGGATCTCGCATACCTTGAAAGTTTGGAGAGGGAATTAACCCCGTGGGAGCAAGAGTTTTTGGAGGAGCTTCACGAGCGAAAGGATTGGGAGGAGCGTGAACGACAACTCGTGGAAGCCAAGGAAGCTGAAGTGGCCGAAATTTAGAACAATGCTAATGAAGGTGCGCTGAATTTTTTTATCCTTGAGGACAAGGAAAGTCTTGAAGAGGAGGGAAATGATACGGAAGTGGTTATTAACCCCGGTGAGTCGAGTGATGGGATGGTTGAGGATCTCGATTTATGGTTGGAAAATACGCTGAAGGAACCATCAGGCCCGATTTATCGACCTTCATGTGTGAGAAATTGGCCAAAAGGATGTGGTCCAAGGTCGAAGTTGAAGGCGAGGCAACGCAAGGCTAGGCAAGTCTTTGTTGTGGACCTTGTACAGGGAAGAAACGAGCGTGGCGCTCAGAGGTTCAGAGATTTGGCGTGCGAATGGTTCAAGACGGGTGGACGATGTCGGCGGGTGATTGCATCGGGCCAACGGACGGATGTGCTAGCATGGACGAATGGCTAGGGCACACATCGGGTGGTGATGTGCGACCGATAGGCGCATGGGTCGGCGAGCGCGGGACAGGGACGTGCGAGTTGATAGGAGAGCGCGAGGATGGCGCGGGGGCATCGAGCGTGGGCCGCATTTGTGGAGGTGGCTGGGATGCGCGGGAGCTGGGCAGCGGGTACGGGACCCTTTTGTTTAGATATTCGTATTGGAGTTGTTTATTGAATATCATGTGTTTTCGATTATGCATGCTATATGTTTAGCTAATAATCATGTGGAATTGATGTTTTAAAGGTTAATGAAAACCATGTGAACAACCAGATACGACTTGGTTGATTTTAAATGTTTTAATAATGCCCATGTTTTCGAAAACGAGTTCGAAAAATTATGTACTGATTTTTGAAAAGTCCAAAATTTCTTATAATCAAAGTGGGGTGTTACAGTTTAGTATCAGAGCCAATCTGCGGTTCTGTAGACTGGTTTATATGTGATTATGTGTTTAGACCTTATAATATGACCACTCGTCTCCGTCACTCTGCGCTGCTTAAGGTATGTTTTGTTTAAGTATTAATAAAAGTACTTGATGTGTGAATGGTATGCTTGTGGCAATGAAACTACTTGTGTTAATTTGTGATTTGGGGCTTAGGATCTATCCACCTTGATTTAATCGATCTCTGGTGTTTATTGGCGAACTCTAGACTTCTGTAATTATGATTATTTTGTTTGTTTTATGCTAAACTTTGTTCGGCTTATTCAATGTAGAATCATGAATACCCGCAACAATCGTAACCGTCAGCCATCCCCGTCTCCTTCTCCGCCTCATCATCATCACCAGGCCCCTCCGGCCATGGACCTTACCCAGCTCATAGTCCAGTTTCAGAGAATGAATGCACCGACTTTCGCGGGAACTGAGAACCCCACAGTGGTACTGGAGTGGATCAAAGAGCTAGATAAGATTTTCGCTGTACTTCCCTTCCCGGACCGACAACGTGTATCTCTCGCAGCTTATCAGATGAAGGAGGACGCTTCTGACTGGTGGATGGACCACTGGGCCCGGAGGCCAGAGGCGGAGCTTCATGCTCTCACTTGGGAGCAAATGAAGATGATTGTGCGTGGCAAGTTCTTTCCCCAGAGCTTTTGGGATAGGATGGAGCATGAGTTCTACCATTTGCAGCAGGGCAGCTCCACTGTGGACGAGTATATTCGTACTTTTA